TGATGATGGGGCCAGAACAAGCCCTGAAACCAGAGACCATATGATAGATGTTCTCTGCTGAAACGTTGTACCAAACAATAAAAATTCTTCTTTGTTCATCAAATAGCATTTTCTAAAATGCCAATCAAACATCAATCGCTATTGTTCAAAGTGTTTCGGGGCGGTTGGGTAGCCTAGTAATTAAAGCGTTGGCTCGTCACGCCGAGGACCCGGGTTCGAATCCCCTCATGGGTACAATGTGTGAAGCCCATTTCTGGTGTCCACCGCCGTGATGTTGCTGGAATATTGCTAAAAGCGGGGTAAAACCAAAACTCAGTCAGTCAGTCAGTCAAAGTGTTTCAGTAAGTAAGGGAATATATAATATATACAAATCAAGTTTATTTTGTATCGCCAACTTTTCAGCAACCACTGTCGGTGCCTTTCTTTTGTGGAGGAAGGTCATTCAGCCATATGCCATTCCTGCCTGGCAAAAATGGCGGGATGGGTCACGTGACAGTGTTTCTGGTGGCTATATTCCGGTAGGCGTCGGCTCAGAATCGTCAGATGATGGCGTTGATGACGTTGCAGCAGACGACATGGATTACGATGGTGATGATGAATATGAGGACTTGGCAACGGAACGGAGAAATGGATGCAACATATTATGAAGTCCCGAAAGAAATGGTCTGCATATTGGAAAAGGGGTTTATATATATGTGCTACTGATTCATGTTCAACAATGGTCCATGTGTGTCAGAAACTCATGTGGAAAAGTGTTCTGTATGTGCTCTTGATTTTTAGAAAAGTGGTCCACATTTGGAAACTATACTTGTGGAAAAGTGAGTCTAATGGGCAAGTGATGCCTGTGGAGAGATGATTCTCATGAGCAAGTGATGGCTGTGGAAAATCATTCATATATCGGAAGTGATGCCGTGGAGAGATGATTCTTATGGGCAAGTGATGCCGTGGAGAGATGATTCTTATGGGCAAGTGATGCCGTGGAGAGATGATTCTTATGGGCAAGTGATGCCGTGGAGAGATGATTCTTATGGGCAAGTGATGCCGTGGAGAGATGATTCTTATGGGCAAGTGATGCCTCTGGAGAGATGATTCTTATGGGCAAGTGATGCCGTGGAGAGATGATTCTTATGGGCAAGTGATGCCTGTGGAGATGATTCTTATGGGCAAGTGATGCCGTGGAGAGATGATTCTTATGGGCAAGTGATGCCGTGGAGAGATGATTCTTATGGGCAAGTGATGCCGTGGAGAGATGATTCTTATGGGCAAGTGATGCCGTGGAGAGATGATTCTTATGGGCAAGTGATGCCGTGGAGAGATGATTCTCATGAGCAAGTGATGCCTGTGGAGAGATGATTCTCATGGGCAAGTGATGCCTGTGGAGAGATGATTCTCATGAGCAAGTGATGCCTGTGGAAATATGATTCTTATGGGCAAGTGATGCCCGTGGAGAGATGATTCTCATGAGCAAGTGATGCCTGTGGAAATATGATTCTTATGGGCAAGTGATGCCTGTGGAGGGATGATTCTTATGGGCAAGTGATGCCTGTGGAAATATGATTCTTATGGGCAAGTGATGCCCGTGGAGAGATGATTCTCATGAGCAAGTGATGCCTGTGGAAATATGATTCTTATGGGCAAGTGATGCCTGTGGAGGGATGATTCTTATGGGCAAGTTTTCCCTCTGGAGAGATGATTCTCATGGGCAAGTGATGCCTGTGGAGAGATGATTCTTATGGGCAAGTTTTCCCTCTGGAGAGATGATTCTCATGGGCAAGTGATGCCTGTGGAGAGATGATTCTCATGGGCAAGTGATGCCTGTGGAGAGATGATTCTTATGGGCAAGTGATGCCTGTAGAGAGATGATTCTCATGGGCAAGTGATGCCTGTGGAGAGATGATTCTCATGGGCAAGTGATGCCTGTGGAGAGATGATTCTCATGGGCAAGTGATGCCTGTGGAGAGATGATTCTCATGGGCAAGTGATGCCTGTGGAGAGATGATTCTCATCGCTGCAAGAAAACATCCAATGTAACACCAATATTGATGAATCTCCACTGGCTCCCAGTACAAGCTAGAATCGAGTTCAAAGTGTTATCACTGACCTACAGCTGTTACCATGATGTTGCACCAGGATATCTGAAAGAACTTCTCCAGAAATATACTTCATGCAAAAACCTGAGATCCAGTGATCAACTTTTATTTACCATCCCCAGGACCAATCTCAAATCCTTCGGCCAGAGATCATTCTCATTCTGTGCTCCTGCTCTCTGGAACTGTCTTCCTTTTGATATCAAAACCTCCCCATCTTTAGCTGTCTTCAAGTCCAAACTTAAAACCCATCTCTTCTCCAAGTTCTACCCTTGATACCTGCGCTTTGAGCAACCGCAACGGATGGAAAATAGCGCAATATAAATGCACTTATTATTATTATTATTATGGGCAAGTGATGCCTGTGGAGAGATGATTCTTATGGGCAAGTGATGCCTGTGGAGAGATGATTCTTATGGGCAAGTGATGCCTGTGGAGAGATGATTCTTATGGGCAAGTGATGCCTGTGGAGAGATGATTCTTATGGGCAAGTGATGCCTGTGGAGAGATGATTCTTATGGGCAAGTGATGCCTGTGGAGAGATGATTCTTATGGGCAAGTGATGCCTGTGGAGAGATGATTCTTATGGGCAAGTTATGCTTGTGGAGAGATGATTCTCATGGGCAAGTGATGCCTGTGGAGAGATGATTCTTATGGGCAAGTGATGCCAGTGGAGAGATGATTCTCATGGGCAAGTGATGCCTGTGGAGAGATGATTCTTATGGGCAAGTGATGCCTGTGGAGAGATGATTCTCATGGGCAAGTGATGCCTGTGGAGAGATGATTCTTATGGGCAAGTGATGCCAGTGGAGAGATGATTCTTATGGGCAAGTGATGCCTGTGGAGAGATGATTCTTATGGGCAAGTGATGCTTGTGGAAGAATGAGAGGCCAAGCAAAGCCTCTTGCAAAGTAATTCTTATTGACAAGCTATTCCACTGAATAAATGATGCCTGTGTGGGCAAGGGATGCATGTGGAAAATGATTCATATCAACAAGGGATTCCTGTTTAAACGTGATTCTACTGGGCAAATGATGCCTGTGTGAGCAAGGGATGCCCGTGGAAAATAATTTGCGTGGCCAAGTGATGCCTGTGTGAGGAGGGGATGCCCGTTGATTCATGATTCAGTGATTCATACCAGAAAGTAATGCCTGTGGAAAAGTGATTCTACTGGGCAAGTGATGGCTGTGGAGAAATGATTCTTTTGGGCAAACAATGCCTTTGGAAAGGTGAATGGTATAGCCAAGCGATCCTGTCGAAAACCTGTGGAAATGTGATCCGTCTGGGCAAGTGATTCTGTGGAAAGGTGATGCTTATAGGCAAGTGGTGCCTGTGAAAACGTGATTCTTTTGGGTAAGTGATGCCTGTGGAAAAGTGATTCTTCATGGAAAATGATGCCTGTGGAGAAGGGAATCGTTGGGACAAGTGATGCCTGTTTGAAAATGATTCTCATGGGCAAGTGATGCCAGTGGAAAAGTTATTCTAATGGGCAGGTGATGCATGTGGAAATGTTTCTCTATTGGGCAAGTGATGCCTGTGGAATAATGAATCGTGGTGGCAAGTGATGTCTGTGGAAAAGTTATTCTAATGGGCAGGTGATGCATGTGGAAATGTTTTTCCTATTGGGCAAGTGATGCCTGTGGAAAAACTATTCCGCTACCTATGGAAAAGGGTTCTTTATGACCAGTGATGCCAGTGGAAAAAATCATTTGCGTGGCCAAGTGATGACGGAGGTAAAGTGATTCTGTCGGGCAGGCAATGCCTGTGGAAAAGGTATTTGTGTTGGAAAGTGTTACAAGTAGGAAAGTGGACCATGTCGGCTCGATGAGGTTCATCTGACAATTACTGTAACTCCTCTTGGGAAGATATTGATGTGCGATCCAGAGGAGGAAAACAGATCACGTGTCATGAAATAGTGGAAACTCAGTGGAGTGATGTGGCTTAAAAATAATTGATTTGTTTACAATTTTGTTTGGAGATACATTTTTTATTTAAATAAAAATCTATCAAACACCTTCATACCGTGTTCATTCATGCCATGATGTGAACATACGGTCAATCCAACAATCTGTGGCAATATGCTCCACGAATCGCTGCCCATTCCTATATATGAAGTCAAGTCTGTACCTAGGATATTTCTAAACTGCTATGCTGGTCTACAACAGGCAAAGTCAGCCAACATAATGTCACTACAGAGGGTTGTGTTGGTTTTCAGATTTTACATTCCAGCTGTATGACTGTTGTCTAAAGTAATCTGGACCAGCTAATCAAGTGATTAAAATCATGAGCATCGATCACAGTCCCGTTAGTCCCCTCTTACGACAAGTATGGAATGTTTAGTATCATATAGTCATGTTTGTCCATGGGCTGATATAGGTGACCCCTCACCGCACTCAGCAATATACCACCTACATGTCACGGTCTGTAAACAATCGAGTCTCGACCAGACAATCCAGTGATCAATAGCATAAGCATCGACCTACGCAAACGGTATACGATGACATGTGTAAGCCAAGTCAGCGAGCCTGACCACCCGATCCCGTTAGTCGTCTCTTACAACAAGCATGGGTTACTGAACATCAATTCTAACCCGGATCTTCACGGGTAAAGGTCAGATGTAACATATGTTATATTTAGGATTACACACTTAGTAAAGTACAGATTGTAGTTAGTTTTTGGATTGAGTCCCATCCAGGATTAGAACCCACACATTCAGAGTCAGGAACTAAATGCCAGCACACAAAGTCAGCGACTTATCCCACTCAGCCACATAAATGGACTGACAGCTGACAATGCAAATAACCGAAATGTCTCGTCTCGTCGAGGTAACAGGAATAAAAAGCTATTTATGAAACTATCTATAAAAGAATTTATGCTGTCAAAGTGGCACCATTAGGCTTTCATAATTTTGCAATCAAATGATGGGCCACGTGTGTAAAGGGATGGACAAATTGGTATAGACTTCCTTACTTTCAACACGTTTATAACCAAGATAGTCATAGGCCTCTTGACATTCTTCATCAATAAACTGGACCTTTTTGTAATCCAGATGAAGCCGCCATTCCTGGGACGCCCTCGCAGAATTGGCTTTAGAAATACACATGGAACAGTTCTGGTTGTGACCTTCCATAGTCACATTTCGTATATGCTTCAAAACAGAAGGCATCATGGGTAAATTGAGGACGTTGTATAACTGTCTAGACAAACTGAGAGGACGTTCTGCTAAATGTTCAAAAAGAACTGTGTGGACCCTGCTTGGATCCTTTTCTTTAATTGCTTCAGTTGTTTGCAGATCTGTTAATAACCTTTTGCAAAATGTTCCAACAAATTTCTCAAAATCTGTTTGCTTGTAAACATAGAACCGCCCTTCGGACCATATTGTGGCACGGGGATCGCGGATAAGATGGATGACACGTAATTTGGAATCTGAATCCATCAAGTCTTTGGTAATAATCCCGCTGAGAGAGACCGTTTTAGTGAGGAGGACTTTAGCGCTGTAACACGCCCTGTAGAGGTGCTGCAGGCAAAGGAACACGCCCTGGACTCCTGGGTATGCAGTCAAACAGTTATAGTAGGGTTTGGTCGTGCGGCTGAATTGAAGATGGAAGACACTTAGCGTATCAATGTCCATCTTTACGAAGTCGCAGTTCAGCAATGCAGACATTGTAAGTTTAGTTATGTAACTTTTGTGAATATGGCCAACGCGTCTGAAACAAAGAAACGGTTATCGATTTAATAATAGTTTTCAATGATGGAAATTATGTCAGCTTTATAATGGGTACCAGGTAGGATGCGTGTTGTGTATGTTAATTTGTTTTGTTTGTTGTTTAACGCCGCACTTGGCAATGTTCGATTCCCCACATGGGTACAATGTGTGAAGCCCAGCCGTGCTATTGCCAGGATATTGCTAAAAGCGACGTAAAACTAAAATACCTCTCTCTATACAAACAGCGCCTACACCTCAAACCGAGCGCACTTATTCACGAACGAGAAGTGTTGATAGAAATTGCTCTCGCCTGAACCTGGACGCAGCCTGATTCGTTTTCGCTTTTGTTTAAAAATGGCGACTATATCGTTGATTACCCTTTAAGCAATGCAAACCTTAACTGGACATGAGGCAGCTACAGAGGGAATTTAAATTCGTATCTGTGTTCACAGTTGGTAAAAGTTAATTAACTTGGATTTCCAAATTCAATGCACGACAGGGCTTGTTTGTGGGATTATGGTACACACAAAGTCAGCTGACGGCCAGGCAACAAGAGGGTCAAAACAGTAGGCTGCGCATCGAGACACAAGAACCACACTTAAACCTGCACCACGTGAAATGGGTCTAATGACGTCATTCGTTTATCAGTTTGGCACCAATGACGTCATTTGCAAGGGACATTTATAAGCCATGGTATGTTTATTGTGGACATAGAAATCTTGGTAAATGTGCAAAATATGAATCGATATAATGCAAAAAGTAAATTAGTTACTTGTGAATATCTGTACTGTTTTGGCTATCAAACTATTAGGCAAACACTTTTTATGCTGAAAAGTGCAAGACTAAAAGGTTAATTTTCGTGTAATTTGCCCGTTTGTACATCTTTTTGATTCATGAAGAAAAGATAAGACCCAAAATAAATTTCATCTTTGAAATACAGGCATCTGCGGTTCAGACAAACAAATCACGTATCAAAATGGGGTGGACACCCTCACTGCATATAAAATGTATTAACAGTTCCAGTACACATATAAAATTATGACTCAACCAACCGAACCAAAAATAACCCCCTAAGAATCTCACTTTTGTCGCTGTCTTAGATAATCGAATACAGTATGTTTCTCCTTGGACATGAAGTGAAGTGGTTCGAAGAAGTAAAACACATCCGGGTGCGCAGAAAGGATGTCTCCAGTTAACGTCGAGCCACTGCGCATGTACGTGAGCAGAATGACCTTTGTGTGAGCTTTAGGCTGACAGGGGTTAGTCGTGTCGCACGGTATCGGTTCTTTAAAGAACCCTGTAAAAGTAAAGCAAAAGTCTGATACTTTTAAACGGTGAAACATGGGGCAATTTTGCAGTCGCCATGCACTTCAACGTAATCAGTGACAATCCAATTATACAGAAACACTGTCCCGGTTTTACTCCAGGGACGTTTCATAGATTTTCGGGGACAGGTGGAGGTAGCCTAGTGGTTCAAGCGTTCGCTCGTCACGCCGAACACTCGGGTTTGATTCTCCACATGGGTACAATTTGCGAAGCCCATTACTGGTGTCCCGTTGTGATATTGCTAAAAGTGGCATACAACTCACTGATAGATTTTCGACGCATTTGGTATCATCGTAGTTACGTAGCGCCCATAACAGTTCCCAGTCGGTGCGTAAGATTCGGATGCCTTCTCCACATGATCACCGAGATTAACCCTGTCAGTCTCCGATACCATATGTCGGATGACTTCACGACCCACTATAGTTGTAGGGGACACCCGAAATTGTCTTTATCTATGGAACCATATGGGGAATCAAACTCAAGCCTTTGAAAAGTGAGTGAACGCTTCTTCCACTCGCCCCTTCCCGTCCTCGAATAGTCTGACACATGAACACAATGCAACGCGATATTGATCGCTGGATTGTCTGGCTAGCTGTTCTCGAAACGTTCGTAGCCCTACGAACTTCTTAAGCCCATTTTTAACACATTGGCTACGATCAAAGTTAAGAATTCTTAGGGCTACGAACGTTTCGAGAATAAGGGCCCTGGTCCATAGTCGGTTATTTACAAACCGCCGCCATACTGCTTTGCAACTTGCTGAGTCCGGCGTTGAACAACAAACAAAATATACGATACATTACTCCTCGTCACCAACCGCCAACACCGCCACCTGTTTCAGAGGGTGTCAAATCTCCCCGTCATAATGTATCAATTAATTGACTTTTACAAAGAGCTAACAAACTGCTATTACTCATAGTGTCCAATAGAGAATCGCCTCACTGTAATTACTTTTATAGACCAGGAACGACATATGGGCTATTACATCAATAGTTAACACTAATTCTTAATAAGGACTGGAGAGTTTTTCTGATGTATACACTCAGCAGCTGCAGCGTGGTAACAATCACCTCGTTACTTTTTGGAATGACATTCAAAATTGGATTATTCAAAACATACAAGAACAGCAACTGACAAAATTCCTTGTTTGGTTTGGTATTCTAGAAAAAGACCCACCATTAAATCATATAAACCTCTCTGCTAAAAGACACATTTACATTTGCACTCTGAATAAAATGTATCCAAAATTGTATGAATAATTTCTTAAAGTTTTTAAAAGACAAATTTAAAGTTGAAAAAATTATTTCCCAAAGAAATAATGATTTTGATTAGTTTTCAGAAAATTTGTCTCCATTATTTCCTGTTTTTGAACCTGATGACTTTGGTTAACTTTAACCAAACATGTTAATCAAAAGAAATAATGATTCTGATAAATTTTCATAAAAATGATCTACATTACTTTAGTTTATTAATCTGATGACTTCGTCTAACTTGTGATATTTTACATGTAATATTTGAAGAACCCAGTTGTACTAACAATCACCTCGTCCAGGATGTCCTCCTTGTGTATCGACCTTTTGGACAGAACTTGAAAACAGGTTTTCCGTGTTCTTATCTGCAAATATATGAATAATTATATAAATTAGAGAGTTACTGAATGAATGAGAGAATAGAGGAATGAATGATTTAGTGGACTGATGGATGAGTAAGTGAGTGGGTCATTGAGTGGGTGGGTTGATGGGTGAGTAAGTGAGTGAGTGAATATGGTTTTAGGCCGCTTTTAGTCCTGCCATAACAGTAATATCACGGAATTGTGCTTCATTTGTGACTGAAACCACAGAGGCTTGTTACGCTAAAAACTGTCATCAAGGTATGTACTATCACTGACGGGGTCTTAGTACTATATAAAAGGAAAGGGATGTAACGAGGTCAACACACCACGTTCTTTCAGGGCGAATTCAACAATGCTCACTGTATTTATCCATGCACACATTTAAAGCCAATAGATTTACATACAAAAGAAGACATACAGCACAAAAATCGAAGCAGTAATTTGGGAGCTAGGATCTTTGGAAGCTGGAAAAATCGTGATTTCTCGATTCCGAGCCAAAATCCCTGCTCAGAATTTGTAGGGGTTGCTCATCCATTTTCTTGTTTATTTCACAGTATACACAAACGGCATGCACCAACACATGTGAAACTGATGGCACACTGACACCTCACTGTCATAATGAATTTACGCACATTTATTCATCGCAAACAGAATTGTGTAGTGCCCGTTCGCCATTGACGACCTTGGCCTTAACCTGTCCCGCAATGAAAAGAGTCAGCGATCTGATGGGACACATTTTATTTATAGCCAATGAGCTCCCTTGCTCTTTTCAGTGCGGGGCAGGTTAAGACGAAGGTCGTCGACCCAACCGGAAACTGATAACTTACGAAAGATTACGCAGGGACCAATCGTTTAATTCCAGACTATCGCACGCTCGACACAACAGTGTTTGATTGAAACGGCTCCTTGATCGTACATCGACCTCTAATTCGTTGGCTTCACATTACTTTTCAACTCGATGTGCGCATGCTCAGAGCGTGTAAAAAATACCCACTGGACTATTGCTGGTTTGGTCGTATGTTTACCGATAGCGTAAATACACTCTAAAAAAACTGTTATGAAAATTATTTACGTTGTGACAACTGTTCATAGCTGAGTACATACTTCCATTTCTGCTTTTGAACAATTGATGTCCCATTTTGGTTGTAATTGCACTAGAGATGTGGAGTGTTTTTCATTGTGAGAAGGGGATGTGCAGGAAGGACGGTGGTAGTGAGATGTCTATATACAAGAGCTTGTTAACATAAGTTAAGCTATTCATTTAACTAATCCCAGCCTTTGTTTCATAAATCAATTGGGATCAGTTGCATTCGACATAAAACTATATATTTGTTTTGATCTTTTTTTCCGTTAGGGTGTGTTTACACTCGGTAAAGCATACGACCAAACCGGAAGTTGGACAGTGGATATTTTTACATGCTCTGCGCATGCGCACAGCGAGTCGAATAATTAATGTGAAACCAACGAATTCGTCGAATCTCTTCTACATTGAATTAATATTTTCATAAATATAAATAGGTTATGCTATCGACTAAGCAACAGGTGGTTCGGTCTCATAGCAAGTTCAAACATGCACAATAATACAGCGGGATGAAATCTGACGCAGTCATCAGTAAAATATAATACAGAGTACTATTATTTAACCCAAAGAAATATATTCCAGCATTGTTTAATTTTTTAATTACAGTTTTTGCACTATAAATGTAAAATATATAATCAATACTAAGGTTATACGGACCTTCATGAACGTGGTAAGTTGTACGCACATGGAATGGGGTAAAATAAGCAAGCCATTTAAATCCACACATTTTTACCGATGTTACTGTAAACTAGCAGTCCATGGAAAACAAGGCGGTAATAGGCAAGCCAGTTTGTTGACATGTCATCATCTAACTACAATATGTATGATATTTAGCGAAACAAAATATATTATCCATTTTCTGTCAACTACACTTCATTTCGATGCGTCAGTAGACGCAATATGATTGTGAATTTTTTTAATAATGTGGACCAAAGTTATAATTATTGGTAACCGCCAGTTGTCTGTGGTCTGTGTTTGCCGCAATTAGGACCCCATCGCGGGGGTTAGGCTTATGCACGAAACATACCATTTTGACACTGATTTTAAGGGTCAAGTTTGGGGGTCGGCTTATCTATGGGGTCGGCTTATAGACGGTAATATACGGTATATATATATATACATTAGTGAAATCATAATCACTATCAAATTCAAATTGCATTGACCAAGCACGGTGTTTCATTGAATAGAAATTACTAGTCGGAATGTGGTTTACACCTTTAGTTGTCCGTTTAGCTGAACGATCCCAGCGTTACTATAGCTACAAAGATATTTGCTGCGTTATCGTTGTTTGAGAATCGTGTAATCAAGGTGATCAGAGACGAGCTTGTACTTTAACAGATGTAGTACAAAGATCGCCTTGGTGAAACGCGCAATATACCTTAACATGGACTTTAGACACTTGCAGTGACAAAGATCGCTTTGTTGAAATTGCTCGTGTTTTCTACATTAGACTTGCAGTGCAAAGATCGCTTTGTTGAAAGAGCTCGTGTTCTTTATAATAGACATGCAGTGCAAAGTCGCCTCGGTGAAAACGCGCCATAGACCTTAACATGGACTTTAGACACTTGCAGCGCAAAGATCGCTTTGTTGAAAGAGCTCGTGTTCTTTACAATGAGACAAGCAGTGCAAAAGTCGCCTCGGTGAAACGCGCAATAGACCTTAACATGGACTTTAGACACTTGCAGCGCAAAGATTGCTTTGTTGAAAGAGCTCGTGTTCTTTACAATAAACATGCAGTGGAAAGTCGCCTCGGTGAAACGCGCAATAGACCTTAACATGGACTTTAGACACTTGCAGCGCAAAGATCGCTTTGTTGAAAGAGCTCCTGTTCTTTACAATAGAACAAGCAGTGCAAAATTCGCCTCGTTGAAACGCGCCATAGACCTTAACATGGACTTTAGACACTTGCAGCGCAAAGATCGCTTTGTTGAAAGAGCCCATGTTCTCTACAATAGACAAGCAGTGCAAAGATCGCCTCGTTGAAACGCGCCATAGACCTTAACATGGACTTTAGACACTTGCAGCGCAAAGAGATCGCTTTGTTGAAAGAGCCCATGTTCTCTACAATAGACAAGCAGCGCAAAGATCGCGTTGTTGAAAGAACTCGTGTTCTCTACATTAGACTTGCAGTGCAAAGATCGATTTGTTGAAAGAGCTCCTGGCCTGCGTTTCACAAAGCCTCCTAAATTTAGGAGGTCGTAGCTCATACGACCTTGTTTACGACCCTCTTCCGACCTCCTTTACGACCATTTCACAAAGACGTCATAGTCGTACGACGCGGTCCTAAATCCATGTCGTACATTGTATAAGAGGTACTTTGTTGCATAGCAACGCATAAAGCGAGACCGAACGGGCACCTGCTTATGTTGTTATTCCCAAAGTATTTCAAAATAGAAATACAAATGAATAACAATGCAAATGTTATGTTTTTAATTCAATGTACAGGTTATCTTATCGTAAAAAAATATCAATAAATGAATTATTTTGGATTTTCCATTGAAAATTACAAGATAAAATGTATAAATCATTTTTATTAATATTATCAGTTTTACTTATAAGGTTTGAATTAAATCGCTGTCCATTAACTTGTTCATATGAAACTGCAATATTATTCCCAATGTATTGAATATTGCACACTATAGGACCTAAAGTCAATGTTGCAGTTATGGCTACGCTTGGTCTACTAACACTTGTGGAAAGGTTTAAAATATGGTGTGATACTCTAAATCTGTCAATTTCTTTTGTAACTTTTATTCAAACAATCAAAAACTTTAAAAGAATAAAAACGTATACCCTATATCCACGTATGATATGATATTGAACAAGGCTAATTGTAGGTACTGAAATTGGTTTCATGAATTTTTTTTATCTGAATGATACGCAAAATATACATCATAGTACTGAAAGTGTAATCAGAAGGATAGGACGATTGTGTTTACTTTTTTTTCATCCGACCTTCACCTCAAAGATATTGCCTAGTATGTGGTACTACAACAATGTTGACGTGTGACATCACAACCGATGACCGATTTCTTACAAAATGGCGGCTTCGCTGACAAGGGTACACAGGATTTTGCGAGGGCTCTTCCCTTGATTCAGGGATCGTTTGTACACAAATATGAAATGTAAGTAATCAGAGTGACTCTGACTATCTGTGTATTGTTATGTGTTTTCTTTGTAAGTAAGAGAAGAAGCCAGAAATGCTGATAATTACCGTTGTCGTTCTGCGTGATTTTGCGTCTGTTATGGCGTCACGCTGCACGGAAACTTTGACAATTTCTTATGAAGTATCAAATCATTGCATTGTATCTTTTTTTTAATTTCCTCTTTCTTGCTATGATAGATACTCTTTCCATACATATTCTAAAGGTATTGAGCCATTGCAAGCAATGAATAGCCGGCTGCTACGCAATATTAATCGGAATTTTCTTTGCTTACATTTCAAACTACAGTAGCGCAGTCTTCCGAGCACAGCGTTTGTTTTCACACCAAATATCCAGTTGTTATTGGTAACAAAGACCAACTGTGATTTGATTTAAAAAATGCATGGGGAATTCAGTGATGCATTTGTCGCAGCTGACTATGAAATCATGATGTCAGCTAGACCACGAGATGAAATATACATGTTATTTGACAACATTAACAAACTATTATATTTATTAGGGCTCCTTGCCTCTAGGCAGGAGACCTATTGTAATCGTTCGGATTATTATTATTATTATTTATTATTCCGCCGATTTTTGTACCAAACATAACTCCTAAACCTATGCTCCGAATCGCTTACAAAAATCACACAGATGCGCACCGAGGTGTAGATATTCGGATATTCCCCTTAAAAATCTCTAGGCTCTTGGCCCAATAGCAAAGGAGAGATAATTCAAAATTAATTCCAAAATTCAACGTTTGACAGCAAATATCTCAAGAACTAATTGTTCCAACACTTCCAAATTTCTTGTACAGATGCACGTATGGTAGATGATGTCCTGGTGATTCCAGAACACTAATTGTTTTGAACGTAGACCCAAGAACAACTGAGATACAGCCTTTTAAAGAGGGAACTATTTCTTCTCGGAACTACTTAAAAGGTACAAGACCCCCGTGACCCCGGCTGTATTTGGAAGATCCGCTCGCCTGTCAAAACATGTGTTCTGGCTCCGTTTTGGACGATGATATCTATTCCCGCAGAGGCCCAGATAAGCTGCGTATCCGAGTAAAATACGCATAGAAAATTTCAATTACGCATTGAAAATAATTGTTGCGTACCAATTACGCATTTAAAATGTTAGATACGCAAAAGTTTAAAACAAATGCGTACGGAATATATTTATAAAAATCGCTTGCGTAATGATAAAGACATTGATTGCTATCAAGTTGTACTGTTAGTATAGGACTAGTGTTGTACTGTCAGTATAGGATGAGTGATTTTTATGAAATCATTTCCATTATATTTAAGTTGATTTTGATTAGGTATGACATAAGGCAGAACATACCTGCTTAGTAAACTTACTCAGTCACATAATACTTAGGTATTTAAATCCACACATTTTTACCGATGTTACTGTAAACTAGCAGTCCATGGAAAACAAGGCGGTAATAGGCAAAGCCAGTTTGTTGACATGTCATCATCTAACTACAATATGTATGATATTTAGCGAAACAAAATATATTATCCATTTTCTGTCAACTACACTTCATTTCGATGCGTCAGTAGACGCAATATGATTGTGAATTTTTTTAATAATGTGGACCAAAGTTATAATTATTGGTAACCGCCAGTTGTGGTTTGTGTTTGCCGCAATTAGGACCCCATCGCGGGGGTTAGGCTTATGCACGAAACATACCATTTTGACACTGATTTTAAGGGTCAAGTTTGGGGGTCGGCTTATCTATGGGGTCGGCTTATAGACGGTAATATACGGTATATATATATATACATTAGTGAAATCATAATCACTATCAAATTCATTGCATTGACCAAGCACGGTGTTTCATTGAATAGAAATTACTAGTCGGAATGTGGTTTACACCTTTAGTTGTCCGTTTAGCTGAACGATCCCAGCGTTACTATAGCTACAAAGATATTTGCTGCGTTATCGTTGTTTGAGAATCGTGTAATCAAGGTGATCAGAGACGAGCTTGTACTTTAACAGATGTAGTACAAAGATCGCCTCGGTGAAACGCGCAATATACCTTAACATGGACTTTAGACACTTGCAGTGACAAAGATCGCTTTGTTGAAAGAGCTCGTGTTTTCTACATTAGACTTGCAGTGCAAAGATCGTTTTGTTGAAAGAGCTCGTGTTCTTTATAATAGACATGCAGTGCAAAAGTCGCCTCGGTGAAACGCGCCATAGACCTTAACATGGACTTTAGACACTTGCAGCGCAAAGATCGCTTTGTTGAAAGAGCTCGTGTTCTTTACAATAGACAAGCAGTGCAAAAGTCGCCTCGGTGAAACGCGCAATAGACCTTAACATGGACTTTAGACACTTGCAGCGCAAAGATTGCTTTGTTGAAAGAGCTCGTGTTCTTTACAATAAACATGCAGTGGAAAAGTCGCCTCGGTGAAACGCGCAATAGACCTTAACATGGACTTTAGACACTTGCAGCGCAAAGATCGCTTTGTTGAAAGAGCTCCTGTTCTTTACAATAGACAAGCAGTGCAAAATTCGCCTCGTTGAAACGCGCCATAGACCTTAACATGGACTTTAGACACTTGCAGCGCAAAGATCGCTTTGTTGAAAGAGCCCATGTTCTCTACAATAGACAAGCAGTGCAAAGATCGCCTCGGTGAAACGCGCCATAGACCTTAACATGGACTTTAGACACTTGCAACGCAAAGATCGCTTTGTTGAAAGAGCCCATGTTCTCTACAATAGACAAGCAGCGCAAAGATCGCGTTGTTGAAAGAACTCGTGTTCTCTACATTAGACTTGCAGTGCAAAGATCGATTTGTTGAAAGAGATCCTGGCCCGCGTTTCACAAAAGCCTCCTAAATTTAGGAGGTCGTAGCTCATACGACCTTGTTTACGACCCTCTTCCGACCTCCTTTACGACCGTTTCACAAAGACGTCCTAAATCCATGTCGTACATTGTATAAGAGGTACTTTGTTGCATAGCAACGCATAAAGCGAGACCGAACGGGCACCTGCTTATGTTGTTATTCCCAAAGTATTTCAAAATAGAAATACAAATGAATAACAATGCAAATGTTATGTTTTTAATTCAATGTACAGGTTATCTTATCGTAAAAAAATATCAAAGAAAATTGAAAATTACAAGATAAAATGTATAAATCATTTTTATTAATATTATCAGTTTTACTTATAAGGTTTGAATTAAATCGCTGTCCATTAACTTGTTCATATGAAACTGCAATATTATTCCCAATGTATTGAATATTGCACACTATAGGACCTAAAGTCAATGTTGCAGTTATGGCTACGCTTGGTCTACTAACACTTGTGGAAAGGTTTAAAATATGGTGTGATACTCTAAATGTGTCAATTTCTTTTGTAACTTTTATTCAAACAATCAAAAACTTTAAAAGAATAAAAACGTATACCCTATATCCACGTATGATATGATATTGAACAAGGCTAATTGTAGGTACTGAAATTGGTTTCATGAATTTTTTTTATCTGAATGATACGCAAAATATACATCATAGTACTGAAAGTGTAATCAGAAGGATAGGACGATTGTGTTTACTTTTTTTTCATCCGACCTTCACCTCAAAGATATTGCCTAGTATGTGGTACTACAACAATGTTGACGTGTGACATCACAACCGATGACCGATTTCTTACAAAATGGCGGCTTCGCTGACAAGGATACACAGGATTTTGCGAGGGCTCTTCCCTTGATTCAGGGATCGTTTGTACACAAATATGAAATGTAAGTAATCATAGTGACTCTGACTATAAAACAGAGTCGATAGGACAAAACATTTTAAACAGAAAAAATACCAAACAAATAATTTCATCACATGAATAATACAAACAAATTTGTTTGGTCCAGATCCACTCGAGGAGAGCTATCTTGATCTACATATTACTTATAATCTCGATTATCCAGCTCAAGAATTAACAACACTACTCCCATGTGGAAGTGGATGATTTGAATCCAGGTCAGGAAATACGTTTAGTCTTTTGCTTTGTTCATATGTTCATAAAGTAAACGTAATTGACTTCCCTTGGTAATATTTCCACTATTGTGACTTTAGAGTAGCTTCCCTTCATAAACATGGTAAGCGTTAACCTAGATATCTAGGTCATATGACTTATCGTGATGTGTCGTGGTGTACAGTAATTATTCACCCTTCAGTCCGTGGATATGCTACAGAAACATTTGTGTAGCCCTTTCCCATTTCTCTGCGATTTCCCCGAACTACTGGACAGTTTCGTAATGTACCGTTCAAGGGAAATTTGAAACCAGGAAGTGTACGTTGAGATTTGTCGCCATTATGCGATTGTGTCCTTGCCCCATTTAGCCTCGTTTTGGTACAGATATGAATATTCATAAGGCCTCATTAAGAATGGTCTATTGGTAACAAAGACCAACTGTGATTTGATTTAAAAATGCATGGGGAATTCAGTGTTGCATTTGTCGCAGCTGACTATGAAATCATGATGTCAGACCACGAGATGAAATATACATGTTATTTGACAACATTAACAAAATATTCTATTTATTATATTTTGATAATTGTTTATAAATGATCGAGACATCGAGTAAGTCTGCATTTTATTACGCAACCCAACTACAGTCTAGCCCTTGAGTTCCAGGCAAACGTGATACTCTACTATTATTCTACTCATTCTACTCTACCAATATTTACAGTATTTAACCCTTCAGAATATAAATTGTCTTAAGACATTGGCGCAACGTTCGCTTTACATCCACACGTTAATTATGCATAAAAATTGTTTGTCTAAAATTACATTGTTCCAAGTTGTTTGGGATTATGAAAAGGATGAAATTGTCTGCCTCAAAAATTACATATTTCCAACTTGCTTTTGATTCTGTAGCTGAAAAATGTCTAAATGTCAACCAGCGTCCTAAAACAGTATATGGTTGGTTTGAAGATCAAGGCATTAAATGTAGTCTAATAAAGGGGTTAGAATTGGTCTGCAACCATGCGCGGGTAAGGGGCAACTAATTGGTGGTCAGGCTCGTTGACTTGGTTGACACATGTCATCGTATCCCAATTGCGTAGATCGATGCTCATTCTGTTTATCACTGAATTGTCTGGTCCAGACTCGATAATTTTACTCCATATAGCTGGAATATTGCCGAATGGGGCGTTAAAAAAATAACAAACAAACAACATCAACAAAACAAACAAAATCAAATGACGCTCAGAGACATGGTTTAGTAATTGGCGACGAACAATGTTTCCGTATGTGTGGATATACACGAAATTTTACTTACATAGGATATATACGGACCATATACACAGGCCCAGCATTACGGCTCTGAACCATCTTCGGCGGGACCCCTTCATAGCATCCTCACCCTCGGATACCAAGCGCACAGCTGACACGGCTTTGATAGTGCGGTTTGTTTGACTTATCGACTTATATTAAAACATATCAGACTCTTTCATTTCAATTCTCGTCCAACATGTTGCTCATGTTGTAGCAAGTCTGACGAGCATCACTGCATGGCTGGGCTGTCATGACTAAAGTACTCACGGAAATATAGATAAAATGATTTTTGGCGTTTATTTGTTCTACTTCATTAAAATAGGTAGTTTTAACAAATATTGAAATAACTATGTTTTTCCCAAATTGGCCTTTTTATTATTATTAATTTGGTCTAATCATCATCCAAAATACCATTTTACAGGTAAAACCCCCAAAATGTGCATATTATGACAAATTTAGAAACACGTTATAACTTACGTCACATTCAACAATAGTAACAACTACATGTAGCACTGTTTAGACAGGAAGATGCATTTGCCATAGCGATTGTGCAATTGACAATCAAAGCTATGAATGAACTCGTTGAAATAGTAAACTTTCAGCAAGAGTACAGGCATGAAAAATGTACTGAGTAAATGCCTAAACCAATTATTTTGTACATCACTTAAGATAAACAATTAAAGGATAAATGGTATATGATGTTTTAAAAAAAAATGTATTATGTGCGAGACCTATGGAGATTACATCACATTTGCATACTATAGATTGGATCAGAAACGTGCATTTTGACTTGACGGGTAAAAATAACACGCTTTTCTCTCCTGTAAACTCATCTATTTCGGATGATTTTACAAAAAGTGTTAAAAACAAAAGTTGGGAAAAACGATAGTCATAGAATATCTAATAATCAAACTTTAGTTGTGTTCAAAACTACGAAATAAACGCCCAAAACCGTTTTATTTCTATTTCCGTGAGTACTTTAGCTGTTTCTCCGTACGGAAAAAGGATGGAACAACGCTTATGACAGGATCAGAATCAGCCGGTCACCAGGATAAAAACTTGATCGTTTCCTGCAGACCAATTCCGCTCGAGCAGTGGCCGTCCAAGAGTTTCCACTCAAGCTAGGACCGCTACATCCGGATTACTCACTTGCGTCATCGTCTTGCCACAGCCGTGGAGACTGCACAACGCATCCCTGGTTTGAGACTACACTGTCAGGAATCGATTGCATGAAGTGGGGATTCGACCAAGAAGGCCAGTTATCGCCTCTGTTTTGAGAGACTTCCATGGCAATAACAATCGAGTCCGGCACTGGAACCTTACAAACTGGAGGCGAGTCGGGTTCAGTGATGAATCACAATTTCTTCTTCTGGAAGACAGCGTGTTTACCGCCGAAGAAATGAACGTTTTGCCCCTAATTGCATTCGACAGGTCGACAGTTTCGGGTCATGGTGTGGGTGGGATATCCAGCACACAAAGATCTGATTTAGTGGTGGTTCAGGGGAATTTGACAGCAAATTGGTACATCAACGAAGTCTTTGCACGTGACATGTTTCCGATTATGGACCGACAGAGGGAGTTGTTCAAGCATGACAGTGCAACTTCACATACAGCACGCGTCACGGTCCGCTACCTTGTCAATTCTAACGTCAGTATCTTAAAAATTGGAGGTCAATCACTTTACTTAATGTTATTTATAAAATTATCAGCTCCTGCATTGCACATGGAATAAAAACTACTTTAGATGAACTTATTCACTCTAACCAAACTGGTTTTATACCGGGTAGGACTATTAGTGAAAATACAAGATTGTTATATGATATAATGTTTGAAACAAAGAAACAAAACATTCCTGGTCTGCTGATTCTGATTGATTTTGAAAAAGCGTTTGACCCTGTTTCAAAAGATTTTATCAACCTGGTTTTACATAAACTTGAATTTGGCCCTGAAATGATAAGTTGGATAAATATATTAACTTATGAAACAACATCTTGTGTTATCCAACATGGCAATCTATCCGACTTCTTTGCAAATGAAAGGGGATATAGACAGGGAGACCCACTATCCCCATATCTTTTCCTTTTTGTGGCTGAGATTCTTGGTTGCATGATAAGAAATAATGAAAACATCAAAGGTATTGTCATCAATGATAATGAATATAAACTGGATCAATATGCCGATGATGCTGAACTATTTCTTGATGGAACTGAAGAGAGTTTGTACTCTGCTATTGACACAATTAATACGTTTTACAAAATGTCAGGTTTGAAAATTAATTTAGATAAATCAAAAGCAATCTGGATTGGATCCAAAGCTAAATCTATGGATAAAATATGTAACGATCTGAGAATTGAATGGGTAATTGGTGAATTTGATGTACTAGGTATTAAATTTACACCAGATCTTGAAGACTTATGGGTAATCAACACCAGAATGAGACTGGAGGAAATTAATAGACTCTTAGCATCTTGGAGAAAAATAAAATTTAACACTTATTGGTAAAATAACAGTAATAAAAACTCTAGCAATCTTCAAATTGGTCCATATTTTCAATTCCTTGCCCAACCCACCAGCAGAATTTATCACGTCCCTTGAAAAATGTTTTTTAATATTTATTTGGAATGACAAGAATGATAAAAATAAAATAAAAAGGAAATGTAATTAAAAACAACTATGAAGAAGGAGGTTTGAGAATGATTGATACAAAAACATTTATAGACGCTTTGAAATTATCTTCTTTAAGACGGTATTTCAAAAGAGGTGATAAAGATAATCCATGCAATATACCTTTCAAAGACATATTTAATTTTGGAGCAAATTCTGAAACTTACTTTAAGATTGAAAATTCTTTTTGGCGTGATGTGCTAAAATCATGGCAACTATTCTACAAAAAACATTATATTGACCCAAATAACATTAATGAAATTCTATCCCAACCATTATGGTTTAATCGTAATTTTAAAAATTCATTAAACTTCATAAAGAACTGGGCAAATAAAGGGATTATAAATATTAGGGATATTTGTGATGAAACTGGATTATTGTCAATATAATCTTTAAAAGAAATATATGGTATCAAAGGCACTTTTTAAGATTATAGATATTTACTACATGTATAACCTGACTCTTGCAAAAATACTCTAAGCCACTGTCATTAAATACCAGTCAGGGATTTAAATATTAACCAATGTCAGATATATCTAGTAAAAACATCTAAAGGCTGCAGGACTTTTATGAGAAACTTATTTCCAATGATATACACCCAAATATGTGTAATAAATGGCAGCTGCTATTTCCTGAAACAGACTTTGATTGGAAAAATACATTTACAGCATACAGAAAAGGATTGCAAGACACAAAACTTATAGATTTTCAATATAGATTTCTACAAGGTGTTATTTATACAAAAAGAGAATTGCTTAAAATGAAAAAAGTTGATAGCAGTCTATGTTGTTTCTGCAATGATCTAAATGAGAGTGTTTGTCATGTGTACTGGGAATGTCAGGAGACACAAACTTTTGGAAAAACCTAAAAATTTGGCTTTAAAATTTATACCCTCATCCATTGCTATTATCAAAACATATGGTTTGGTTTGGTACTCTACATCATAATATATTACTAAATCACATCATCATTGCAGCAAAAAGACACATTTACGTATTCAGACACAACTCTATTTTATAAAAACTTTGAAAGATTCCTTTGTGGAAAACCATATACGCAAAAGAAATAATAAAATAGAACATTTCAATCATAAATGGGGTCTTCTCTTCCCAGTACTTTGATGAATTTAAAATGTATCCGTATTTACCTGAGGTCATATTTCTCTTTTATTGACTTATATATGTGTATTAATATGATATTGAGGTACTACCTGTACGTCATCCATCTGTCTGTACATAACTTTTGTACATATGACATTGTAATCCTGGGAACCAATAATAATAAATAAAAAAATTCTAACGTCAGTGTCTGGCCACTACCTAAACTCGATAGAACGCTTATGGGATGAACTCGATGGACGTGTACGTCAACGTCAAAACACGTCTCAGACACTTCCATACATGGCCATCGCATTGCAGGAAGAGTGGGGGAAGAATTCTCCAAGAGCGACTTCGTCGACTTATCCAGTCGGTGCCGAGCAGTAATTTCTGCCAATGGTGGCCAAACAAAGTTCTGACTTTGATGCCATCGTTTGGACTCAAGTAAACAGAAACACAATAAAGGCAGCTGTTGTGTTGGCGAACTCTTTGTTTATAGACGTGTGAATTGTCACCTTTTAACCATTGACATTACATGAAAAAATTGCTCTTAAACTAACGCAAATTCTTCTAAAAACTAATTTCTTTTTTAAGGGTACATGTACAATTGGTAAGTGTCGTGATTATCATATCTTAGCTGACATCTCTATCCACGAGTACGACCCCAATCACCGTCTGTGACACTTGTCCTGGTTTTGCTTTTGAGAAGACCCCTCCTACCTGTTTCTCCATGGTAGCTACATCCTTAATAGTTTCAGTATTAAAGTTTGTATTTTTTACGTCAGCTATCGTTTATAATGAAGCTAAGTCTAATTTCAAAAAAAGCATTTAATAAGTGTCCTTTGAAATACAATATCATCGCACCCTAATTTGCATAAAGCCATGGTCTGTTCTAAATAAGTCGCTTTGGACTCGCATTGCTCAGCTTTGCACTAATCTCTCCTCAGTAAAGTCCTCTTTTCACATTTCCTATCTCCCTACCACTGAGACTGTAGTTAGGCCGAACTGAGTTTAACAGATATTTCACATATTAACTTCATAAATTGTAGATATAAATGTGAAAAAAAAGTTTTTTCCTCTTTCCGACAGTACTTTAGTTTTAGATCAAAGGGAGAGTTCCAAAGGGTAGCAGCTGCATACTGAAAGGAAGTTCAGTTTTACGCCGCTTTACGCCATAATACAAAAAAATGAACGCCTACTAACGCTCTTGTAGGTCTGCTAACATGACCATAACGCGTGCTCTGAGCCTTTCCGTTTCCCCCAGTTTCTGATCAGATGATGTTCGAATAAGTATCATAATTCCATGACATGAACAAGTCACACTAAGGTGCCACATATTTTCATTTAATTTATGTCAACATCAAGTTTTAATCGATTGCATGCGATGGTAGTGTAGCGATCGGCAAAGCAGTCGGGTGGGCTACACCTAAGTGTCCGGCCTTGTCATAATGTATTGTATTGTGAAGCATTTTGAGTCGGGGGTCATCTCAAATTTTTGTATATATTTTATAGAATCTTTAATCCTCGCAAAGACACGAGGGCCTGTGAATAAAACCTGGGGTTTAGGCGTGACGTGCGTTCACTTTAACCACTAGGCTACCCCACCGCCCATTTTGAATGTGAAGGTGATGTGGAACTTACTGAGTTGTGTTGCGATGGTGATATCGACTGAAATGCACATAATATGTATTGGCCCTCAACCGTCATATAAATTATATCACAGCGGGGGATGTTCAGTCTGGGTCATATACACGATCGGTTTACAACGTGATCAATACCACACGAGGGCACGACGACCCTGTTTCAATCAGGTGACATACATATGACCATCTTAACACCACTCTGACGATAAACCACATGAGTGAGTGAGTTGGGTTTTACGGCACTTTTAGCAATATTCCAGCAATATCACGGCGCTGGGCACCAGAAATGGGCTTCCCACATTGTAAACGTGGGGAATCGAACCGGGTGTTCGGCGTGACGAACGAACGCTTTAACTACTATACAAGAACAGGGACTGTGGGTAGCCTTGTGGGTAGAGCGTTCGCGAGGGCCATTTCTACTGTCCCTGTTACTGTTGGAAAATTGATAAAAGCGACGTAAAACCATATTCACTCACTATTGTTGAGTTGAAGTTAACGCAGCTTTGACGAACAGTACTTCAATTTGGTCGTGGCACCTTATCTCATTATCAGCGGCGAACCGAACGATCTATAATGCTGCATTGCAGACAAGATCAGATTTGGAAAATCAGGGATTCGAACCCACTATGTACAGCGGATCTTAGGACAAACAGAAAACATACATACGACTAATACCATCCTCAGTAGTTAATGGGAACAAAGGGAATCAATTAAATAGACCATTCTAGACACTGACTTTGTAGGAAACAAAAGTGTACAAAAGTAAAATAAGAAAATTAATTGACTCACAATTTCCGTTTTCGCAAATAATCGAATACAGTGTGTTTCTCCTGGACCAGGAAGTGAAGTGGTTCGAAGAAGTAAAACACATCCGGGTGCGCAGAAAGGATGTCTCCTGTGAAGGTTGAGCCACTGCGCATGTACGTGAGCAGAATGACCTTTGTGCGAGCTTTGGGTCGACAGGATTTGGTCGAGTTGCAAGGGAGAGAACGGTTAAAGAGGCCTGCGGAAGGTAATAAAATTAAAAGTTACACTTTTCCGAGTGAATGAATGTCGTTGTCGAATGTGTTATCATCACCTGACAAACCCAGGAGGATATACTTGAAACATTAAACCCCATTGCATTCCTATCTCCAGCAGCCCACATCCATCCCATCACAAACACAAGGGGCGAAACATTTCACTTTGAAGATGGGTTGACATTTGGCAATAATAGGTGAGTGAGTGAATTTAGTTTTAGGCCACACTCAGCAATATTCCAGCTATATGGTGGCGGTCTGTAAATAATCGAGTCTGGACCAGACAATCCAGTGATCAACAGGAGCATCGATCTACACAACTGGGAACGGAGACATGTCAACCAAGTCAACCCGATCCCGTTAGTCGCCTCTTACGACAAACATGAGTTACTGAAGATCAATTCTAACCCAGATCTTCACGGCGTACCAGACGTGTCTACGTACCTGAAAACTGTGCGAAGAGGCCTACGGACTCTGGAAAAGATGCAACCATTGTGATTACTTAGGGTAGAACAACAGAATCATACAACCTGGAGCCATGTGATTTATACCAACTATTATGTGGTTTATATCTGCATTAAAAATGAGCGAGTAAGTGGACGAGTTCAGTTTTACGCCGCTTTTAGCAATATTCCAGCAATATCACGGCGGAGGAAATCAGAAATGGGCTTCAATGATTATACCCATGTAGGAAATCGAACCTAGGTTTTCGGAGTGACAAGCGAACGCTTTAACCACTAGGCTACGCAATCGTCTCTGCCTGAATTAGGAAGACTTACATAAAGGAATTACCTATTAACTATATTTATTGCTGCCAGAAATGACCCGGAATTACGAATTTCTTGTGCATATCGTGTTGCTAGAACTCAGTTTTGCAAACGAAATACGAGCCCGTGATCATAATTATAGAAGTTTATTTCGTGTCCCTAAAGACAATTACGAACATATTAAATTTACACTATATATACAATATAAAAAACAAAAGTTTAATCAACAACAAAAAACAAAACAAACAAACAAACAACAACAACAACAAAAACCACAGATCAAATATGCTTTTTCTCCTGAAATATATTTACGAGCCCAGCAGTGTTTCCGCTGGCATTTTTTTTTATAGCTGGACATTGTGACCGGCTGGCATTTCAAATACCGGTCATTTGTAAATTTTACCGGTCAAGTGATCACGCTTTTCATCGTGCGCGAGACCTTGCACCCTAACAATCAATAAAAAAATGTAGAGGGTACTGCAATGCGTCAATGCCGCTACTGTTAGCCTTGGTTTTTTTTCTCTAAAACTGCTATTTATTTTTTTTGACAACAACTCGATGCCAATGGTTTATTTCATTTGTGTACAATACAACAATAGTACAAAACGTTCTCCCACGTTCTATGAAAACTTTGCCTGAACGTTGTGCGGTGCTGTGAGAATTATGCATCAGCCCCGACGTTGACGTCGACGTCACGTACCATTACGTCGTGAACAGCGTCTAACATCCGAATCTCACCTTTGTTAGAGGTGACTCGTCTCGGTGTCTCGGTTGTCTTGACCGCAGGAAAGGAATATGGCAGATACTCTGTCCCCGTGTTGTCTGCGGAACAGAAGATTTAGTAAGTCGGATTTGTACGGTACTTGAGTGAGTTTGGTTTACGCCGCTTGTAGCAATATTATGGCGGGGACATCAGAAAGTTTCTTCACACATTGTGGGGAATCGAACCCGGGTCTTCGGCGTGACGAGCGAACGCTTTAACCACCAGGCTACCCCCACTGCCCCTGCACAGTATTTGGATGAAAGTCAAGGCATATCAACTTAGTGTGGGAATACCGGAAGTGATGTTCGTACGGGACGTGTATCATATTGGTGAGTGAGTGAGTTTAGGTTTACGCCGCTTTTAGCAATAGTCCAGCAATATCACGGCGGGGACACCAGAAATGGGCTTCACACATTGTGCCCATGTGGGGAATCGAACCCGGGTCTTCGACGTGACAAGCCAACGCTTTAACCACTAGGCTACCCCACCGCCCGCATGGATTACGAACACAACAGCATCCTGAACATAATTTAGAAGCAGTCCATGACTTAAGACCTAACTTATATTGTGAGTTAATTAAAAGAAATTCTATCACAAAAGTTAATGTTTGATATTATCGATAACACAATTTCCATATCAATAATCATCAATTCTATGGACGATGTTTCCGATTATCGATAATTTTTGCCCAGCCCCAAATGTTACAGTTGTCACCAATAGACAATATTCCATCAATTCCGATTCTTCCATAAGCATGTGTTATCAATCATTATAAAACAGTAATAACACCACTTTGTTTGAGGGGGCGGTGGGTAGCCTAGTGGTTAAAGCGTTTGCTTGTCACGCCGAAGACCCGGGTTCGATTCCACACATGGGTACAATGTGTGAAGCCGATTTCTGATGTGCCCCGCCGCGATATTGCTGGAATATTGCTAAAAGTGGCGTAAAACTAAACTCACTCACTCTCTCTTTGTTTAAGCGTCACTAGTGTCATCCGTCAAAAACATCTGCAAAGGCACCTCAATGGATCACCTAAAATAATTTGATTGTAAGATAACTATATAACTATATTATCCTTTCGACAGTTTCAGACATTAGTCTAGACTCAGGGTGGTGGAGTAGCCTTGTGATTACATCGCTCGCTCGCCGAGTGCGATTCCTCACATGGGTACAACGTCTTTCAGGTGTCCTTCGCTGATATATTGCTGGAGGTGAGGCGAGGCGAGGAGAGGTGAAATTGGGTTTTACGTCGTGCTTGAGAATATTTCGCTCATATGACGACGTGCATGCGTGTGTATGTGTATGTGCGGCTGCTTGTACTAGTCCAGACTGAAGCTGGTTTTATAGTGCCAGCCCACTGAGATACCATGCCGCAGTGAAGCATGAATACCCCACTCAGACACATTATACTGACTCCGAGCCGACCAGTCCTTGTTGTACCCATTAATGCCGAGCGCCAGGCAGGGACCAACAAGTACCATATTTTAACGTCTTTTGGTATGACGCGGTCGGGGATCGAACCCGCGACCTTCCGTTCTCCGGGCGGACGCTCTACCCACTACACCACGGAAGCGGTCTGATATATTGCTGGAATAAAAGCGGCGTATCACCCAACTCACTCACTGGTCCAGACTAGAGCTGCTTCCATATCATAACAATTACTTGTAATAATCTTATTATAAATGACTTCAAATGAGAATATATTCAAGGAGAAAAAATATAATTGTTCGCAATAGACTATCGCAATCGCAATAGTTGTTCCCCATCAATAGTCACTCCAAACAATAAGTACTTACCTCTAACATAAAGTACACATATCAGCGCCGTACATCCAACTACGACTGATAAAATCCTTTTCTTCGCTAACTTTCGCATGTCGTTTCACTTCTGTATAATGAACGCCCGAAACGAGCAGACACACCAACATGCCACTCAGTCTAAAAATACGGTCCACTTTTCGCACGTGAAAATCGTGCTGAATGTCACAGCGATACGCGCACGCTCCTAATTGGATGGCAAATGTGTATTCGTGCAAACAGTGTTTAATTTTTACCTGCACCCAACGGCATATAGGTGAGTGAGTGAGTTTAGTTTTACGCCGCTTAGTTTTATTCCGGCAATATCACGGCCGGGGTCACCAGAAATGGGCTTCATAGAGTTTCACCCATGTGGGGAATCGAACCCGGGTCTTCAGTGTGAGGAGCGAACACAAATATAAGTGAAATTATATTGTGACTTCACTCAAAAAGTAAATAACCTGTCAGAGAAAAAGTGATCTTTTGGGATGTGATCCATATAGGCCTATATACAGCTGGGTCCCGTTCCTCAAAGCGATCGTAGCGCTACGACAGTCGTAAGTCTATGTTAAAGTATGGGAGTTACGATCACCTTAGCGTTACGATCACCATAGCGCTACGACAGTCGTAAGTCTTTCAGGAACGATCACCTTAGGGTTACCGCTTTCATGCCATGGAACCAATGCATAACTTTCAGCATACATGATTTCAAGTAGCTGATTTGGTTGTTGTTTAACGCCGCACTCAGCAATATTCCAGCTATATGGCGATGGTCTGTAAATAATCGAGTCTGGACCGGAAAATCCAGTGATCGACAGCATAAGCATCGATCTACGCAAATGGGATACGATGACATGTGTCAACCAAGTCAGCGAGCCAGACCACCCGATCCCGTTTGTCTTTTACGACAGCATTGGCTGCAGAAGACCAATTCTAACCCGGATCTGCACGTGTATCAAGTATCAAAATATTAAATTCCACCGCACATTTGTACATGTTTTCACACATTTTCCTTTTAGCGAAACTATATTTTTTATTAGTGTATCAGTGTATGCGGGTGCAAAAGGGTTGGTGTAAACCTTCTTTCGAGTTGACCTGTGAAGATCCGGGGTAGAACAGGTCTTCAGCAACCCATGCTTGCCACAAAAGGCGACTATGCTTGTCATAAGAGGCGACTAACAGGATCGTGTGGTCAGGCTCGCTGACTTGGTTGACACATGTCATCGGTTCCCAATTGCGCTGATCGATGCTCATGCTGTTGATCACTGGATTGTCTGGTCCAGACTCGATTATTTACAGACCGCCGCCATATAGCTGGACTATTGCTGATTGCGGCGTAAAACTAAACTCACTCACTCTTTCGAGGTATATAGATGCCACGTAATGATTTCTACACTAAAAACATAAATCTCTAAAGACTATTTCACATGCTATATATAGATAAAATGTCGTAGGTAAATCTACAATAGGTCAATGTAGAGAAAGTCACCGCATAGCATATGTTTGATACCGTACCACATTAAAATGATGAATTTCGCTGAAATATCATTGGTAACTTATAAATTAATCGATTAAGTAGATATTTATAGGAGGTTTTATTGTCAAAACACACCATTCAATACTGAGTTGATTTATGAAGTTGACATCCATAAACCCTCTTCCTTATGTGTATCACTAAATGCCATTGAAATTAAAGATCTTTATGAAGTAACATAAAATGATTTGATCGGACCCCGAATACATTTGTTACGTCGATATTCTAAATCATTAATACCAAAACTCCATCATTATCATACGCTTATACTGGGCTTCAGGGGCAACCTGTTATTACCTTACAGAGCTCCAGATAAGATTTAGCTCATGTGGGTACTGTACCCAATGTATTTTTTGGGAGTGGGTATTATGAATGTTGAGTGGGTATTTCATTTTCCGTTACCCACTGCTTTCAAACATGTGCGTATTTCAGTCATTTTACTCACCTAAGTATTATGTGACTGAGTAAGTTTACTAAGCAGGTATGTTCTGCCTTATGTCATACCTAATCAAAACCAACTTAAATATAATGGAAATGATTTCATAAAAAAATCATTCATCCTATACTGACGGTACAACACTAGTCCTATACTAACAGTACAACTTGATAGCAATCGATGTCTTTTTGATTACGCAAGCGATTTTTATAAATATATTCCGTACGCATTTGTTTTAAACTTTTTGCGTATCACACATTTTAAATGCGTAATTGGTACGCAACAATTATTTTTAAATGCGTAATTGGAAATTGTCTATGCGTATTTCACCCGGATACGCAGCTTATCTGGGCCTGGGACGTATACATGTGAAGGTATGATATCGAGTCAAGCATGGTTATCCTTAATAACAAACGACAGCATCGTCATCTTGATAAAAGCATTGAGCGGCATTTAGATGTGACAGAGCTACACATAACTTTTGGGGTCATTGAGTTACGTACTCGCTTGTGCTCATCTCAATTGGGTATCCTAGTTTTCCTTTGAGTAACCAAATAAATTGTACTCACCTCACTCAAACTCAATTGGATATTTTGCCATTTTCCATTCATTTCAAAAATATAATAAAGTTTAAATGTTAGTGTTTGTTATTTATATTTGATCTGTAATATGAGAAACGATAAGAAAGACTGCAAGTTTTCAAGTTCGTGTCCTGAAATAGAACCTCTCAGTACACCTCAGTTATTTAATCCATCCATTTTTGTGTGTACGCATGTAAGATCACAATTATTGAGTATTTACCAAATCTCAAGCGTACTTGTACGCAATAGACTTAATAGGAATTGAGTTTCACATAAATATTTGGGTAATTTACACAGATACGCAGCTTATCTGTACCTCTGGAAGTGATACACATACTGACGAGAATGTTATCAATGTCAGGGTCTATATTTTGAGAAACTTGACGTTTGGGAGTATATTTTTACTATTTCATCAGGTGTATGTCTTAAGGAAAACGACTTTTGGGAGAATATTGGCGAATGAGATGGTGAAGGCGTAAGTATGTACTCCGAAACGTCATATTCCTGAAAATAAACTTTGACATTAAAAAATTCTCGCTTAATCTTGATGTCTAAAACGTGGACAAATACTTACACAACACGTAAAGGACACTCGTCAAGATGCACACGGCCATGACACTCTTCACATGGTTGACCGACATCGTTGAAATGAATGAAATCGGACTTTTGATGCTGAAGACAATAAACTCCAGTTGACAAGCAGCTGTTCGGGAGATCCACACAAACGATACCTTTTATTGATAGGGTTGTAGTTGTCTGAGCTGTTGTGATCTTTGTCACTTTGTGCGCAGTCAATATCGTTGACTAGATCAATACTTTCCAACACAGCGTTTGTGAGTGAGTGAGTGGATGGGTGGACAGAATTTGAAAATGATTTCTGTTTTCATATTTGCAAATATATGAAGAATCATATAATAAATTAACTGGTGAGTGAACGAATGAGCAAATGGAGGAGTGGGTGGGTTGATGAGTGAGTGTGTGTGGGTGAGTGGGTGGGGGTGTGCTTTGGTGTTTGGGGCAATGAGTGAGTGAATGAATGGGTAAGTAGGTGGGTGGGTGAGTGAGTGGCTAGGTGGGTGGGTGAGTGAGTAAATGAGTGAGTGAGTATGGTTTTACGCCGCTTTTAGCAATATTCCAGCAATATATCACGGCGGGGGACACCAGAAATGGGCTTCACACATTGTACCCATGTGGGGATTCGAACCCGGGTCTTCGGCGTGACGAGCGAACGCTCTAACCACCAGGCTACCCCACCGCCCCTGAGTGAGTAAATGAGTTTTGGATGAGCGAGTGAGTGAGTGAGTGAGTGAGTGAGGTAAACGTTAACCGTACCATGTCCAGGACACATCAGGACTTTGTTTGTGTCGTCTTGTTAATTAAACCTTCTCAGATAAAACCATCTCTTCAAACATTTGACTGTCGGGATCTTTCTGTCTGTCTCTAAAGTAAAACTACCTGATTTGTCTTCATGTTAACGGTCGCCTATCGCCATTTGAAAGGATAAATAACAAAGTTTTAATAAATTTCTCATTTCAACAGTCTCCTATTGACACATGACGGGAAATCAGTGATATCTTACCTCTTTCTCTACGTCAACACATTACAGTCCTTTCTCGGTGTCAACGGCCTTCTATTGACACATGACGGGAAATCAGTGATATCTTCCCTCTTTCTCTACGTCAACACATTACAGTCCTTTCTCGGTGTCAACAGTCTCCTATTGACACATGACGGGAAATCAGTGATATCTTCCCTCTTTCTCTACGTCAACACATTACAGTCCTTTCTCGGTGTCAACGGCCTTCTATTGACACATGACGGGAAATCAGTGATATCTTCCTTCTTTTCTACGTCAACACATTACAGTCCTTTCTCGGTGTCGACAGTCTCCTATTGACACATGACGGGAAAATCAGTGATATCTTCCTTCTTTCTACGTCAACACATTACAGTCCTTTCTCGGTGTCAACAGTCTCCTATTGACACATGACGGAAATCAGTGATATCTTCCCTCTTTCTTTCTACGTCAACACATTACAGTCCTTTCTCGGTGTCAACAGTCTCCTATTGACAGCGGCCTTATGACGGGAAATCAGTGATATCTTCCTTCTTTCTACGTCAACACATTACAGTCCTTCTCTTAAGTGTCAACGGTCTCCTATTGACACATGACGGGAAATCAGTGATATCTTCCTCTTTCTCTACGTCAACACATTACAGTTCTTTTCTCGGTGTCAACAGTCTCCTATTGACACATGACGGAAATCAGTGATATCTTCCTCTTTCTCTACGTCAACACATTACAGTCCTTTCTCGGTGTCAACGGTCTCCTATTGACACATACGACGGGAAATCAGTGATATCTTCCTTCTTTCTACGTCAACACATTACAGTCCTTCTCGGTGTCAACGGCCTTCTATTGACACATGACGGGAAATCAGTGATATCTTCCTTCTTTCTACGTCAACACATTACATGTCCTTTCTCGGTGTCAACAGTCTCCTATTGACACATGACGGAAATCCTTCTTTTCTACGTATCATTACAGTCCTTTCTCGGTGTCTACGTCAATTGACATGACGGAAATCAGTGATATCCCTCTTTCTACGTCAACACATTA